AAAGGGAGATAATGCAAGTTGAAGCCTTGCACAGGGAGTCACATATGCTACGAGCAGGACTTGCTGCTCAACTCATATGTGAAGGGCGTGAAGGGAAAAAACGGCGGTTGAAATTAGACAGTGATGATCCAGAATATTTTTTGTACTTTGGGGGTAGTGATGTGCCTAAGATTGAGTGGAAGTATTAGACTCTACATTAACTGTGTCATTTGTTTAAACGTGGTGATGTACAGGCTAACCAGTTTACTAGCTGTGTGTGACATTTGTTGGATTGCTGTTGACGACTTTTGGGGCTGTTACGCGATGTTTTAGTATGCCGTGTGACTTTTGAGTCTTGTATGTGACGTTTTTGGTAGGTATGATTGACTTTTGGTACGTTGTGGTATGCTACATTTGTACAGGTCTGTAAATATTCTCCTTATCAGTTACTAGCTGTTTGTAAATTCTTTGTGATCTGTTCTGGAAGATATTAAATACGGACTGGTAATATGTCACGCGAACAGGTGATACACCACATATGGCTGAAATGGACATGTAACAGACAATAGTCACATGTGACGTTTTAGTGTTCTGTGTGACATTTGAGTCTTGTATGTGACACTTTGTTATTTTGTGTGACATTTGGGGCCATCATGTGACTTTTTAGTATGTTCTGTGACTCTTGAATCTTGTGTGTGACGTTTTAGTATGCTCTGTGACTCTTGAGTCTTGTGTGTGACGTTTTAGTTTAGTGTGTGACTTTCACTTCTTGTAGGTGACAATTTTTTATTTTGTGTGACATTTGAGGCGGTTGTGACGTTTTAGTATGCTTTGTGACTTATTAGACTTGTATGTAACATTTTGGTAGGTACGATTGACTTTTGGTATGTTGTGGTATGTTACAATGGTCACGTGATATGCAAACAGGTAATACGTCACATTTTTTGTGGCAAAAGTAACACGAATAGGTAATTTGTCACATACAAGAAACAAATGTCACAACAAAATGGAAAAAGTTACACGTAACAGACAATAGTCACAAAAGCGTTTGCATTCTGCCTAGAAACGTTAATCTTCGATAGGTTCAGTGCACGTGGCTCGGTTATGTCCTTCAGCGTGACATCTTGAGCATCTAATTGCACGTCTACTCTCAGATCTGTTGTTGATACGCCTATTCTTGTTCCTTCCACGTCTCTTTGTCGTCTTTGGGGGAAGAATGCTAATTGTTTCATCTGTGACATCTGGCTTATCGTAATTTGGAACAGGAAAGATGATTGGTTCGTAACTTCTCTTGAAAGCTTCAGTCGTCATGAACCAATCGCAGAACTGGTACACATCTCTATGCATGAAGTTAATAGCGGCACACGTATGTTTACATGGTATTCGCAATATATCCCATGCACGGCATGTGCATGTTTTGTGTCCCAAATCAACTTGTACTGATTTTTGTGATGATACCTCGAAGATTTCAGCTGTAGAATGCGATACTTCAAGAGTGCTTCCCTTGGTGACATTTTCTTGGAGGATTTTTTCCGCTTCAGGACAAAGATAGCTATTCCATTTTGTTGCCATCTCGCGACGAGTATTCATCCTTTCCATAATTTGCACACGAATGTGATCCATCATATCGCAAATGGGAAGTGTTCGCGCCACACGAATCCAACTGTTGAAAGATTCAGCGACATTGGAAGTGATATGCCCATATCTGATTGAAAACAAAAAATCATTACCACAATTTACCGCTATGTGTCACAAATAACTAACAAATGTCACAACTAACAACAAATGATCACAGATAACGGCTATTGGTCACATGTAATGGAGTATTGTCACACGATACAAGTAAAGGTCACACGTAACAGATGAACGACCATATAAAAGCGAAATGTGACATTTAAAGGCTCAATTTCATATAACAGCATAATATAACCAGTAAAGGTAATGATAATTGACGTACCTTATACCAGGAAATACAGAATTGGCCCAATTACTAGGACCATAACTTAGAGCTACTTGGTAAGCTCTTTGATCTGTCATTCGAATCTGACGCAAAACAGCATTAAATTCTCCTTCTGTGTACTTGTATGCAGCAAACTCCAATAATTTTGAAATACGTTGAGCAGCACTTGAGGCAAAACCCATCTCTCTAAGCTTCAATTTATAATTCTCAACAAGATGAAGTACACACCTAGAGTGGTACGCATCTGGAAATATATTTTTCAAAGATTGCTTTATTCCTTTGTCGGCGTCTGACAGAATTACAAGGGGATGGGGTGGATTGTATGGTTCTGTTCGATTGTACAATATATACCGCAATCCTTGAATAAACCAACTCCAATTCGCTTCATTTTCTTGGTCACAAACGGAAAATGCGAGTGGAAATATGCCTTGATTACCATCATAAGCGGTCGCACCTAATAAGATCCCTTTGTAACGATCCTTCAGAAAAGTCCCATCTAGAAAGAGCAACGGCCTACATCCCTTGAGAAACCCCTGTATGCATGCACCATACGACACAAATAAACGTTTGAATCTCCTTTCTTCTTGTTCAATGCTGAAGACACTGTCTGGATTTGTTTCCGTCACCTTCATCTGGTACCTAAAAAGATGGTTAAATCACAAATAACTTGTTAAATACTCAAACGTCACATATAAAGTCAAAATATCACATATAAGGTTTAAATATCACATGTAATACTCAAAAGTCACATAGAAAGTCCAAATATCACATACAAGATCTAACTATCACATGTAATGCTCAAACGTCACATATAAAGTCAAAATATCACATATAACGTTTAAATCTCACATGCAGATGTAGGAACAAGTTGTCACAAATAACTTTGAAATATAACGTTCACGCATCAATAAATAACGAGGACTAACCAGGATAGTAAATCATATGAATGCCTTGCGCAACCAAATATTTCATCTTTTGCTGTCTCTTTAGCACGCCAAGCTTTAGAATAATTAACTCTTAATCCATATTGAGAGTGCAATTCCTTTCTAATGTCAGTTGGGGTTATATATGGACGCCTCTTCATAATTGATTGTAGCATACTCGCAATCCACCTTCTTGATGCTCTGAAGTGACCAGCTGTGCTGTTATGTTGTCCACATGTATGTTGAGGAACAAATTTCTTTATAGCAAATGTCGACACATGGCTCAATGGTGAAGCGAAAAACAACCACGGGCAGTTTGTTTCTTCTCTAAACATGCAACTAGCACGAATACGTTTTGGCTCATTGTTAACATATTTGAAAGCGAACTTCTTAGCTATAGAGTAGTATATAAGAGCCATTCTAACTTCTTTTGCACTTTCAAATTGCTGCCCTTTTCCAGTAATTGCCTCGTTCCACCATGCTGGGATCCGTGACGAGTCACTTACTACGTCGTTCATACTATACACATGCTCTCCTTGAGGGTTGTCATTTGGGATCCTCTCTGATTCCTCGATTGTGATACTCTCATAAGGTTGCTCAATATGCTCTGATGACTGTGAGCTTACATTAGGAACACTGCAGGTTTAATGTAAAGGTCACATATAAGTCACATGTGATACTTACCAGTAAAGTCACATATAAGACTCAAATGTCACAAATAAAGACAATATATCACAAATAAGGTCCAAATGTCACGTGGTATGTCTTCAGGTCACATATATAATAGAAGGGAAAATAGAATATGTCACGTGTATCCAGAACATGAAAATATACTTTTGAATACTTACTTAAGCTCTGTTTCTGACCCTATGGCATGGGTGGGTCCTTCATCTCTTTCAGTAACAGTCATGGTCAACGTATTTAACCCCATTGAACGATGATAACCTATCATATTGAGAATATCTTCATCTTTTGAAAGCTCAAACGAGACATTGGGAAACTTCTCGATAGAGTAACTTATCAACAAACTTTCGAACCGTACTCTAAAATTCTCTGTGGCTTTCATCTTCAATTCAGCTAAACTTGTTGCTGAATTGACTTTAATAAGGGTTGCGTTACTGTTAAATGAAATCACACACATTAAAGAATCTTCCATTTTGGTTGTTGAAAAAGTTAAGAAGAAAAAGTTCAGAATATAAATGATTGTTGAAGGTTGTTGAAGATTTTAGCAGTAGATCAAAAGAGAGAAGAGTATATATGAGGAATGCAATATTTTGGAGGGAACCGTGTACATTTTCCCCTCCAATTCTACCTCTTCCCTGCATAAAACCCCCCAGCTCACTGATTTGACAACCACTACTTCATGATGGGTTGCTTGGCTGGCGAATAAGACAAAACCCAAGTTCTTCAAATCACAGCCGCTTTCAGCGCTGTTACCCAAATCGAAAATGAGAGTAGAAAGAGCAAAATGGGTAATGCTGGAAAATACACTATAAAGTAGAGAAACACTGTTGGGTTTGGGGTGAGATAGCATGAATACTTGGATCAAGGTGCCCCCAAGTGTTTGACTCTAGTTGGAGGGTGGGGATGCATAGCCGAATTTTATTTGGTTCCCCCAAGCAATTTTCCCTAATAATAATGAAAATGTGGAAATGTTCCTATAATAGTCAGGTATTAGTTTATAATAATAATTTTTAGTCAAATTGATTGAAAATTATTTTTTCTCACGACACTCAATTTTTAGTAATGGATTGGAGATGAAATAGTGATTTTGTGTAAAAACTATACCAACTTGGTGTAAAAACTACACCATTTTAGCTTTTTGGGTTGGAGATGCTCTTATGCTACAAGTGCAATGTATGGAAAAGAAGAAAACTATATATCATATTATAAACGTTAAACCGATGTTAACAACAACAACAACAAAAAAAACGCAAATAGTAAATAATTGTTCAAACAACTTCAAGTTGGTGCGAGTGAAACATGAACCGTTGCTGACGTTACAACGTTACAAATATCACCAACTGTCAAGATGGGGATTATAACTTCCTTGCTCCTCAGCCTCAGGAGTCCTCTTATCTGCCACGTAGGATCCCGGTGGGCCCGTGGACAGCGGCTCTTTGGGCACCAGCGTTCTCACAGCGGGTTCCTATCCTATCTCTTTATCTCCGGCCCGTTACGAGCACAAAGTGTCCGCTCTCTCCCTCTTAAAACTTGGAGAGAGGGGGAAAAAGAACTTCATAGTTAAGCTAAGTACAAGAGAAGAGAGAGAAAGTGAAGCATAGTTAAGGTAAACTTCGCTCTATATTTTTGTCTTTGTATTTGAAATTCAAACTCCTTTATTCTCAACTTAATTACTTGTGTTTCCAACTTAACTTCATTCTCCACTTGATTGCTAGCAACTATTTATTTAGTGGTACAATTAGAAACTTCAGAAAGATGGTAGTGGTATGTGAGTATTTTTCCATAATGATATCAAGACAAATTTTGAAAATCGATCCATTTACAAAAAAAAGGCAAAAGTCGACCCATTTACAACATAAAATCGACTCAGACAAAACTTCACGGACTTGAAGTCATGTGAAGTTGCATAAGTTTTTTGGTCAAAATCGACCCAGTTTCAGCCAGATGGCTAAAACTGAGTCGATTTTGACAAATATGTTGTAAATGGGTCGTTTTTTGTAATTTTTTTTATAAATGGGTCGATTTTCAAAATTTGTCCATGATATCATCATGTAAATTTGCTTTTTGTTTTTTTATTGAAATGGTCTAATTCTGTCGAAATTTTCAGTTGATGTTGAATTACTTGTTTGTTATGAAATTTTGGTTGAAATTACTTTTACAGATGTTAAGATACACAAAAGATTACTAGATATCTACACTGAATATGATATGATTACGATACGAATATATAATGTAAATATCTGGATTCATATCAAAAATATTCAGACTCTGTTTTGACCATTAGATTAATAGATTAGAGGTTAATTTTGATGATGCATAAATCTAATCTTAGCTTTGTATCATATGAGCTACGTACAATTTTCACAATCTTATCTTTCTTTTTTCCCTATCCGCTTTGTATCCTCATATTTTCTTTTATTTTATTCACATGCTTATCTTATTTTGACAGATATCAATATGAAGCCTTTTTACTCATCTGGCTTTTTCATATCCTTTTGTGTAGATCAGTATATATTTTCTCTTATTTTACTTGTATTTGTATCATCCTTACCAGATTCGTTTGCACCCAAGTTAGGGATTTTATGAAACATTATCATAAACTATTTTTGTTCAGAATATCACAAAAATCTTAAACATCAAACTATTGGGTTTTATAGAGTGTGCAGACTTAAAATAACTAAATTCCATTCAAAAGTCAGGCGCTAATCCATTTCGAACCCAACCCAATTGCATCTTTAATGTTTGCCCATCCTATCCAATTTCCTTCAAAAGCAGCCCATGGTATGATTCTCTCTCATTTTTTTTTCTAGATTTCTCAATTATTTTGCTCTAATTAATCCCTTCCCTAAAGTTAAAACATGTTTTTGTTGCATTTGTTCACTGTTCATGCACTTTATGCGATTGGGTGTTCAATCTACCCAAGGACAGATCTCTCAAATGTTTTGTAATTGATCAAAACCATCATGATATTTTGTCCTAATTTTGCATGCTTCAATAATTTATCCGTTTTTTTTTTTGAGAAAATCGAAACCTTTGTGTCCCTCCATGGTGCTCACTGACGTGTCATTGACGTTGCACACAGCTGATGGCTTGGATGTGTACCACGTTAACAACACCATAAAAGGGACATGCCAGCTCACATTATTAGCCATTTTGATGAATATGACAGTGTTCTTTCTTCGTGTGTTATCAGTGATGTGAGCTTTGAATTCCCGTTTACCTTTTGTGATTCTCGCAGGAAACCGCGATTAGGAGAGAGGATGGACTACGTATATGGGCCGGGGAGGAACCACCTTTTTGTTCCCGGGCCGGTGAACATCCCGGAGCCCGTGCTGAGGGCGATGAACCGGAACAACGAGGACTACCGATCCCCAGCCGTGCCTGCACTCACCAAGACTCTTCTTGAGGATGTCAAGAAGATCTTCAAGACTACAAGCGGGACCCCTTTCCTCATCCCCACCACAGGTACTCCTATCTCAGAAAGGAAGAAAAATAATTTTTTTTTCGTCGAGTATATACAATGTTGGTTAAGTTGAAGAGTTCTTTGAATCCTTGGTATGCGTCTATGTGTTTGAATCTTTGTAGTTTAACATGATCATGTGATGCCTTGATCACCTAGGTACTGGGGCATGGGAAAGTGCACTTACAAATACGCTATCACCCGGTGACAGGATTGTATCTTTTCTGATCGGGCAGTTCAGTCTCCTATGGATCGATCAACAACAGCGCCTGAAATTCAACGTCGATGTTGTTGAAAGTGACTGGGGGCAGGGGGCCAATCTCGATGTTTTGGCCTCGAAGTTGGCAGAAGATAGGAGCCATACCATCAAGGCCATTTGCATAGTGCACAATGAGACTGCAACCGGAGTCACCAATGATTTGTCAGCTGTAAGGAAATTGCTCGGTAAGCAATACAATTCTTTTTTTTTTTAACCAAACCAAATCATCATGTAATGAATACACACGCTAAATTTACATGGTTTACCAAATAATCAGTACAGGTTCAGGGATTAGTTGCGCAAGTGATTTCTTGAAGGGATAAGTATTCTTACTGCTTTTGAAGCCACTCTCCTTGCTCATAGATAAAAAAAAATTACGGTGGAGTTTGAAATGATTTGTATATTATGTAGCATACCGGCAAGTTCTAACCACTCCTTTTCATGTTATGATCAAAGGGGAACTTCGTAAATTTAACGAGCTTGACCTACAACTACAACCATTTAAGCTTATAAAGACTTGCACAACCTCAAGCCAGACTGCCATACCTTCCAATATTTGAATTACTACTTCAAATTCTGACTAATGGTTTCATATCATATTACTTTTAAATGGTTTTTCCAGAAAGTTTTACTTATCAAATTAGTATATAAGGTGAAGGGTTCACTTGTGAAACTCTGTTCTTCAACTGATTTATTCTCTACTCTTTTAAACCAGCTAGTAAAGTATATTGTAACAATCAGATGTCTAATTCTCTGTCGATAACTTTTGCAGATGATTATGGCCACCCAGCATTAATACTCGTGGACGGAGTGTCTTCAATATGTGCACTTGACTTCCGTATGGATGAATGGGGTATTGATGTAGCTCTAACCGGTTCGCAAAAGGCTCTTTCGTTGCCTACAGGAATGGGAATTGTTTGTGCTAGCCCGAAAGCTCTTGAAGCTTCTAAGACTGCAAAATCCGTGAGAGTGTTCTTCGATTGGAACGACTACCTGAAATTCTATAAAATGGGGAGTTATTGGCCTTACACCCCTTCGATCCAGCTGCTCTATGGGCTCAGAGCTGCATTAGACCTTCTGTTTGAGGAAGGGCTTGATAATGTAATCGCAAGGCATGCTCGTTTGGGGAAAGCTACAAGGTGAGCTCATTCTTGGTATGGATGTTTGTATTGCAGGTTGATACCCTTCTTATGTAGTTGATGCAAATCCTGTTGGTTAACATGTCGTGTCACGTGGGTAAGTAACCAAATTGACATTTCTAAAAAGATCCTGTTTACGATAAGTTTTTTTTTTCACCGGAAACATAATAGTATTAATATCATAATTAATACCATTCTGGTCTGGTTTTTCTATATTAAAAAAAATACCAATCTGATACTTTTTCCTATACAAAACTATACCAAATTGACGTTAAATGTCGATATTAATACCATGATATTGCCCATGAAAGAAAAAATATCATATCGTAAACATGGTCCTACTACATGTTAATTTAGCCTGTCATCAGGCCATGATTGTAATAGGGGTTAATTCTAGCATTATATCAGTAGAAAAAACTAGTTCATCCACTTTATTTAACTTGGAATGCCGACTTTACTGCACTAGTGTACATCATGTCCAATCTTGATATGTCTGAATCTCGTACATTTTACAACACGACATTGATGGATCAGATCATCAATGCATTAACTCTCCATGCCTCAGAACATTCTTGCACATCTTGTGCAAATTTTTGGAAACGATTCAAAGGCCAGAATCATATAAACGTCACACTTTTTTTTACCCTCTAAATACACATAAAAATATATGTAAACAGATATTTCACGATTTTGGAATCATTTTAAGATACATATATATATATATATATATATATATATTTGTTGCATGTTGTTGAAATCACAGGCTTGCTGTTGAAGCATGGGGCTTGAAGAACTGCACACAAAAGGAGGAATGGTTTAGTGACACAGTGACTGCAGTGGTTGTTCCACCTTATATCGATAGTGCCGAAGTTGTAAGAAGGGCATGGAAGAGATACAACTTGAGCTTGGGGCTGGGGCTTAACAAAGTGGNGGGAAAGTGTTCAGAATAGGCCATCTTGGTAACCTAAATGAGGTATGTCGTACTTTTTCCCTTCGTAATTTGCTACAAAAATTCACAGGACATAAATATTTGTGTGCTTCAATGAGCTCTTATCTTTCATATAAATTATCAGTTTATTCTAAATGGAATGGGTATATGTAGATGCAGGAGGTTGTTTTGTATGGTTTAACTATGTGTAGACATTGATGGAATAGGGTTTACATAGAAGAGGGGGTCCCTTTTATTTATAGGTAACATATAATATGGTAATATTTGCTGAAGTCTTGTGTTATACAAAACTTGCAGAATTTTGCACAAAACAACCCTGAACTTTAAATCAAAGAAAACCCACTTGAACTTTCAAAATTTATTGTAAAATCTCATAAAGGAGTTACCAGGTTGAGTAAAAAATCTAAAAATGTGATCGGATTGTTGCGTTGCTTTCTCACAGATGATTAATGTTCGTCATTCATATCTTTCATCATAAACTTTGATTTATCATGATCTAAACTTATTACTCTACTGGCTAATACCATTTATGAGATTTCCAATGGTTCAGGGTAGTTTTTCTCTGAGATAAGTTTCAGGGTTTTTTTGTAACTTATAAAGAAATCAATTAATCGAAAGTTTACAATTAAATTGACTTATTTCAGGCCGTATAGATAATTTCTGTGCGAAACTGTTAAAGGCGCTAAAACCCTTGACATTGATATTAATAAAAACAATAATTCACAAGTGTGAGCATTAGTAATTAGAAACTTGCTTATGTTTGGTATTGGATCAAAAACTCATTTTATGCAATGACTAGGAATCTAACCACCCCTTTTCTCTTTAAATTTACAGCTGCAATTGCTTGGCTGCCTCAGTGGAGTGGAGATGATACTCAAGGATGTAGGATACCCTGTAAAGCTTGGGAGTGGAGTAGCTGCAGCTGCTGCTTATCTTCAGAACAACATCCCTATGATCCCATCTAGGATTTAAGCTAGCTTTCTGTCTGTTACTTGGACCCCCTGTAAGAAAACTTATATACACGCCATACTCTACGCAGAACTTGATTTATGTACTAAGGTTTATAATTGATACTTTATCTTTTGTTATTAGTTGCTGTTTTCTACAGTTGTTTTCCTCTGTTTCCCATGTAAAAGAGCTTGCATTTATATAAATCATAACTAGATGTTTGTTTATACACATTACTACTGATGTATTGTAAATAAAAAAAGAATGTAAGTGATTCGTATGTACACTAATCAAATAGGATTGTCGTTGAAATTTGCTTCGTTTGTGATTCCGGTTGGGATTAGGCATAAGAGGTCTTTCACCCAACATGACTCTAATTAGTTTATTTGCCTTAATTCCTAACATTTATCTTTAAATAAATATATATACGTGCCTGCTTGCATAACATCTTATACTTAGTTCTAGTTAGGTTGCTTGGCTGTTGGAGGTTTTCCATAATGGACAGGGGACTTTATATTGTGTAAGCGTCTGATTTTGTATATATGTATTATCTATGTCCATATGCATGTTGTGTATGTATATGTGCATATGTCAGTTATGTATGTGTGTATATATTGTGCATGCATGTCATTTATGTATGTATATATCTTGTGCATTTTGTGTGCGTGATGTGCATGTATTATGGTGCGTGTGTGCATGTTTATATGTGTGCACCCACATGTGCACGCACACAGGGTTGATGGTTATGAGATAGCATCTCATTTTGCTGAAATGAGCTAGCAAGAGATAAAGGGTGGTGAGAAGGTCACCCATCCAGTGTGACTAACAGTTAGTAACTCGGGGGGAGAAGGTAGAAAAAGGACAGCAAGAGAGATCGTGGGGGAGAATAAGCTTAATGATGGCAGGTTGCCCTCATGTGAGCTACTTACGATTCCCTAGCTCCATCTTATACTTTCACTTCTGTGGCAAGGATGAGCTGAGCTGGGGTGATGATGGCCGAACTCGAGTGATTGGTGAGCTGCCGTTCTATCTGAATTGGAGCCTGATTTCTCTTGGCCTGTTTACTTCAGCCTTTCTCAGAGGTCGGGCTTTTTGGCACGACGATACCTAATAGCTGCTCAGGAGGTGACCCTTTATTTTAGCTCATAATTCACATTACTCAGATAATTTTTGTCTTGGAATTGAAGCAGTAGGAGAAAGTAAACGGGAGAGGAAAAAAAAAAGAGTGCGCGGAGATTAACTTGGAACTGAGGATACAAGAATAAAAATAGTAAAAAGATGAAAAATAACATGATTAGATGGGGCATACAAACACAGATCACACATATATAAGACCTTTTATAACTTCAATCAAGAGAAGCTTGCGCAATTTTCGCTTATTAGCGAGTATGGTCGATAATTTTTTGGAAAAATTCTAAAAATAAACCACATTTGCTAAATATTTAGCAAAATCGACCATTTTGCTAAATATTTAGTAAAATCGACCTCTTTTTGGCCTGTTGGCCAAAAAGAGGTCGATTTTCAAAAACTTGGCCTGAAAACATACGGGACTATTAGTCCCGTATGTTTTCAATACACTAATTAGGGATTAGAAAACATACGGGACTAGTAGCCTCGTATGTTTTCTGTGAGCTTCTCGTGACTCACCAAAATGTATGGGACTAGTAGTCCCGTACATTTTGCAGAGCCACGAGAACCATTTATACGGGACTACTAGTCCCGTATAAATGTCGACATATATATACCATCTGCCCTAAATTTCGCTATTCCCCTTAGAATCTCAATCTCTCTCCGCCTTCTCTCTCCACCTTCACTCCCAAACCCATCTCAATCTCTTCACCCTCACTCCCAAACCCATCTCAATCCCTCCCAAACCCATTGAAATCTCTCCAAAACCCGAATTTCAAACCCAATCTCCATCTCTCCCAAACCCTAATTCCACACACAAACGCAATCTCCATCTCTCCCAAACCAATCTCCATCTCTCCCAAACCCAATCTCTCTCTCCCAAAGCCAACTCACCCCCTCCTCCCTCAAATCTGACGCCGAGCTTGATCTCCGACGCCAACGAAATCCGATTTCGACAAGGATTTTCAGGCCAAGTTTTTGAAAATCGACCTCTTTTTGGCCAACAGGCCAAAAAGAGGTCGATTTTGCTAAATATTTAGCAAAATGGTCGATTTTGCTAAATATTTAGCAAATGTGGTCTATTTTCAGAATTTTTCCTAATTTTTTTGCATAAAAAGATGACAATTTCTGGATTAAAAAAAAAGACAGACTACAGAACAGGCATAGGTACATTATCCTTTTTCCCCTGAACCATGCAACTGCACTTGCACTCTTGCATACATCTCTTACAATCAGCAAGGCAAGGCTCACCATCTTCCGACTCGCATTTGTTCACACACTTTGCTTGCGGGATCCCGCTCCACAAACAAGTTGCCATACACCGAAGAATTGGCTTGCAGTACGGACATTCGCGATTCAGGCGATCAGAAATGCAGTTTTTACATCCACCCGGGTCTGGAGACGAACATGCCGAAGATGCTGGTAAGAGGAGCGCTGTGATTACTAGTAACTTGACGATCGCCTCGTTATTTTTCTCCATTGCTCTCAAAGGGAAGTTGACTATTGCCCATTGCTAGTCCTTTTATACCTGAATTTTGTGTTGGTAGAGTTATTAGCCTCTGACGTGTTAATTGATTATTTTCAGGGATGCATTTGATTTATTTTCTTCAGGCTTTGAGGTTCATGTCACCTTATCTAACAGAAGTCAAAAATTTTAGAATCTTTCAATTTCTTGCTCAGTGTGCCATGGTTTAAGAGGAGCAAGTTAATATGAACTTCTCACCTGCCAAAATTTAATGCTAAAGCCCAAAAAAGGGGGGGGGGGCGGGGGACACTACAATAAAAGCTTCGTCGTATATAGCGGAACTATTCTAATGCGACCGAGACTGTATTGGCACGCATGGATCATTCGCCAGAGAGAGCACTGATTGTGTACCCTCATGTCCTAGATTCTCGGGCGTGTTTGACTTCAAAAGCTAGTTTTAGGTGGCCTACAAGTGTAGTCGGAAAGGGCCGAATTCAAATAAGTTTTTTCTAGTTCAAATTCTAGCAACTAAACTAGTTCTTTTTTAGACCAACTTCTATATGGACAAGCTCTATCTAGCCTAGGTAAGCAAGAAATAGTCCAATTGCACGTGCCAAGCACGCCATTATTTTGTATCGTTGAAAGGTTCTCGTTTTCTGGAACGCCACGTGGCCAACGTATCGATTTACTTGATACTCTATCGCATGTGTAGATGGACAAATTTTATAAGGGCCCATTTGGATGGGAAATTTTGCCCCGAAAATTAGGAGGAAAACTGCCAAAATGACAGCTTTTTGCCAGCTTTCCCCCAAAATCGCCTCTCTAAGAGGCGATTTTGGGGAGACGATTTTGGGGGAAAGCTGCCATTTTGACAGTTTTCCTCCCAATTTTTGGGGCAAAATACCCCATCTAAACGGGCCCTAAGAAACTGTCATATTTCGTATTTAAAGCGATCGCATACTGAGGTATTAAAAAAATAAAAGAAAAAGAGACCGATATTATTCATACTTTCACATGTGTTAGAAAGTTAATGCATAATTGGATATGATGCAGACTCTATTACAAAATTAGTACGAAATCAAGGGTTTCTGAGCTGCAATTGTAAAATAATTTATACTTCTCAGTCGTACTCCACTTACTTGATGATAATATTTTTCCTTTCCTTAGGAATCACTGTATTGTTGTTTTTTTCCTTCGAAATGAAATTCCAATTTAACACCCTTAACTATCATGTTGCTAACAAAAAATCATGTAAATGTGAAGTGGACTATGGCATTACTTGTGTAATTCTGACTGGACCAGAGTTAAATAAAAAGGAGTAAATTTCATCCAAAAAAAAAAGCGCCAGGAGCTTTGACAAGGAGAGAGACGACCTGAATTTGTCTCGCTTGGCTACCAAGTTAAGAAAAATAATGAAGGGTTAATTGCTAACTGACCCCGTGTAATGTTAGTCTAAAGTGTACGTTCAAAGTTGAAGCCGAAGCTGGAATCACGAAGAACACAGTCCAAAAAATTCAGGAGAACTGCCAGTCAGCCTGGCGGTCGACCGCGAGTCAGCGGCGATCGACCGCGAACGTACACAGGAGTCAGGGAGAGGCTGGAGCTGAAGGCGGTCGACTGCGCCAACCCTGTAATGTTTTCTGCTCTCGGGTTTTGATTCGGTCGACCGCTACGGTCGATCGCGACGCTGTTTGCCAGATTCCTTATGAGTTCAGAAAATCTGTTTGGGCTGGGTTTGGTATAAATACCCAAACATTTTTAGGGTTTGTTAAGCATTAGAAAACCATCAAAAGAGAGAGCTTTTGATAGAGAGATCTCAGAGAGATAAACCCCTAGTTTGAGAGTTTGTATTTCTTCTTCAATCAATAAAAGAATTATGTGGTGTGGCTCCCGAGGACGTAGGCACGTTGCCGAACCTTGTTAAATCTGTGTGTTCGTCTCCTTTATTATTCCTGTAAGTTTTGATCTTTATTTGTGATGAATTTTTCTACTTTCCTATTTTCAACACAAGGTTCGGAAGGGCAAGGGTTCGATTTGATTGTTTCTAATCTCCAACATGTAATATCACCCAATTGCAAAGAGACACCATGTAGCTCCATTTATTCTAGAGGGATCTTATATACTTGTACTCATTGCGAATGGACATTATGAGTGATTTTTTTTCTTTTTTTGCTCTTAAAATCGTTAAGATGTTTGAGGAGGCAGATAGACCTCTTTAGTTGGTTCTATTGGTGAGGATTGACACCCAATTGCTATTTTTTTACTTTCAAACTAGTTAAAAAAGTTCACTAAGGAGATACATTCGCACTTGGGCCTATACTAAATGGGGCTATATTCGCAACAAGTAGTACTACATGGGGTCTATTTACAACAAATAGAACTATAGGAGGACCTCTTTCTGATGTTACAAGGGATCTAGTCACAATTAAAATAAAACTTCTAGGGGCTTTCAAGATTTTAATGGGTTAAAACAATAGTTAGGGGCTAATAAGAAATTTAAGGTAAAGTTTAGGGTTTTGCCTTGCATTTCCCAAAAATTGCCCAAAGTTCGGAATGGTGTTTTTCACAATTCGACCCGAAGCTCAGGGGCTTTGTTCTTATTTTCTTTTTCTTTTTCATTTACTCCTTATATATCCCAACCGGGGTTTTTAGACGCTGGGGTTTTCGCCAAGCTTTTAGGATGATGGCCGCCTCCGCCATCAACGTCATCTCAATCTCAACCTCGTCCTTCTCTCGCTCTCCTCTCATCTCTCCACCCTCAATCTCTTCTCTCTCTCGAAACTCCCCCTCTTCTTCAAGAAGAAGACCCATTAGCTCCCTCGCTCTGAAACCATCACCAAATCACCTCATTTGCAGAGCAGCAGCTGAGTACGTGTTCCCAGACCCAATTCCTGAATTTGCTGAAGCTGTGAGTAAAAAAAAAAAAAAAAAAACCCATCAATTATTTTAATCTCTAGCGACCTTTAGTGCATGCCCCTTTTGTACATCTTGGGTAATTCTTGAATTATTTTTTGTGTGTGTCGGGTGTCGGAGTTCAGGAGACGGAGAAGTTCAGGACCCATCTCTTTGAGAAGCTGGCCAAGAAGAAGAAGGATTTGTTTGGGGATTCCATTGAGGAAGTTGTGCGGGTTTGCGCAGAGGCAAGTTGCTTTGCTTCATTTGAATAAAAAAGGTTATTTTGCCCTTGAATATTATTAGGACTAGTTCTGCAATTGGATGGTGTGAATTGGTTTGAAGATTGATTTATGCATTCTGGAGTGTTAACATAAAATTGTGTACATTAGGCATCTTTATGGCTTATACCCAATTGTTTGAAGGAAAAAAAAAATTAAATTGATGGATATTAGTCCTTCCAATTTGATAGATATTACTGCTTACTATCAGAAACCAGAATAATACGAACTTTTATCGACTACCTTCAAGTCCGTTACTTTTCGTGAGCATGTCTAGGATACATATCAAATCTCTTTGATAATGTAGTAAATCTTAAGGATACATTAGTAAATACACATCACTTGGGTATTGAGCTATCTATGAATCCGACATAGTATCGCTCCTCCAATCAATTGCCTGCTCTTCATGGTCAATTTGGTATCTGAAAGCTGTGCAGTTTACCAACTTCTAATCAAGCGGAAATGAAGAAGGTACCAAAACACATATTTTTAAGGAAAATATGTACTTGAAATTATCAGTTCAAAATTAAACGATGTTCAAATTAAAGAACGCTCCANAGCTTTTTTAAAAACTATAATTCTTACTTCTTGTGGGAGAAATACATGGCACAATGCAGACTGAACTTTCTCTTTCGGTTTATATCCTATACTTCTTCTCTGTATATGCCTAACCTATACTGTCCTAAATGGTAAGAAAGCCTTGAAAGTGTTTGAGTGATTAAGTCCCTACAAAATAGCTATTATTCTTTGGTTGACAAGAGCTAGTAGTTGCCTAAGTGGTAGGGGTGCATTCGGTCCGGATACGGCTCACATATGATGCTTATCATATCCATATTTGCTTACCCATCTCGGATACGGATACGGATACAGAAATACATGCGGATATATAAGCGGATATGCACGCGGATACAAAACGGATATGAGAAAGTATTGAGAAAAACATAGTTCATGTGATACAAAAGAGTTCGTTGATATGTTCATTATAACTGTAAAGTTTAAGATTAGACATCTTGATCATCAAAACTAACCACAAATCCATAATCTAAGAATCAAAACTATTGTAAGAGCACGACTAATATGTATTCAGATATTTCATTACAAAACCATATTCGTAACCATATCCTATTGGTTATAGATTTGAGTAACCATATCCGTATCCTAACGGATATGGTTACAGATATTTCCTCGGATACAGATACTGTTTAGCACGCCTACTAAGTGGCCAATCGTGGATGAGTTCTTCAATACATGTAGGCCACTATAAGGCCAACCTATGGCTTGCGTAAGTTTGCCTGTGGTTTTCCCCTTTGAAGGTTGTGTTTCTTACAAAATGACCACAATGTGACCATTCCTCCTTTTTCTTCTAGATCTGCTTTTGTGACGTTATTTGTATTTGCAATGAAATTGGCTACTGTACTTTACTTACCAACAAAACCTGAGATGGATTTATTCCCTTTTCTCTCTTGTTGTTCTTTGAGGAAGACCCCATAAGCTTGCATCATGAAGAAATTATAAAGAGGGAGGGATAAACCAAACGGGGGTAGTAAAGGGCCCCATATAGGAGAAGAAAGCTCTAATAAAGGCGTGACAACCACATAAATCGGAGAATCATTTGCCTTAGAAATCTTAGTTGAACCTTTACCTCTGAAAATAATTATCAACAACCCTCTAGAAATCACTTTTAGCCTTAGTGCGCCAGGAACCCGAGTCACTGCATAATAAACTTATAATAATGCACTGTATTTCTCATTCCTGCAGCAGATTTCTTGGGATGCGGGTGGGTGGGGGAAATTTGAACCCAGATTGTCCAAAAGGTAAGTATTGCATGAAGAAAACTTGGTTAGGCCAATGTTGATAGAACTATTTAGAAAACAAACAATGCCTGATTTTAGGGATGTTTCCCTTGCAGACATCTTCTAGCTTTTAGGATTTCATTTGCATTCATATATGTCATGTGGCATCCCTAACTTCCATTAACTACCAACTTATTTACTTTGTAAAGTTCTTAAGGTTTTGAATAGAGAAAATTATCGCTGTGGGTAAATTTAATTACCCAATTAACCTGTGGTTATAAAGTGGATCATAAATCACCTGGATCGCGTGCTCTGTGTCTGCGTACATGGGTTGTAAGTATGAAATTAGTTAATTTTCTTTAGGTCCATTAGGGCTATAAGTCTTACAAGGATTGGACACTCCATCTAGATATGCACCAACAAAATCACGTGCACACACACCCCACACATATTAAGGTGTTGACTCCTCACACCATCACAACATAACCCAAGTTAAAAATGTCTTATCATTGAAAATTTACACCCTGAGGCTTTTATGTTGGAGAAAGAATAATCAGCACACAAAAGGTTGGATTATGCAACAGTAATCTATTTGTTTCTCTCTTTTATAGGTTTTCTGTGTGGTCTCGGTTTTACTACACTAAACATTTTCGTGTTGTTTTTTGTGAATGTTTTTGAAGTGAATATTTTTCAAAAGCTCGTGCGTGCTTCATCTTGTGTGCATGTATGTGTGGGATCTGTTGTGTTGTCATATGTGAAATCAGATTCTTGTTCAAATGTAATTCAAGTACATATTTTCCTGGAAAGAAATTCTTTTTTTTCCAAACAGTGAGAAGGTTGAAACATGTCAAATTCGCTTGTCACAATGCTATTTGATAAGCCAAGGAGCAGCCATTGAATTTGTCTTTTCACAGCGGAGACTTTGTTTTTATAGCTGTAAATCTCGGATAGTTGACGAACTTCCTCCTCCTTGACAGAAGCATTTTTATTGGCAATTTGCCTGTTTTTATGTCTTGAACTTCTTAAACTTATTTCTACAAAAACCAAAGCACCAAATTCTTTTGAGAAAAGAAAATCATCATTTTACATGTCCCTACAGGTTGAGCACCCAAAATGGATTTCTACGCTAATGGAGTTGTTTATTTTTTATGTCATTTGAAATACATTTAAAATGTGTGTTTTTTTAGATCCGACTTTGTATCGTTTTGGTACGATGTAATAAAACTTCGAAATCATGATGAAAATTGCTTGCACATTTTTGAGGGTCTTCAAGCTCTTTAAGTGAACAATTATGATTTTGTACATACTACATACAGCTGATTCTTTTATCTTACTCGTGACAGATTTTGAACAATTTCTTGCACACAGAGTATGGTGGACCGGGGACACTCTTAGTAATTCCCTTCATCGACATGGCAGATATATTGAACGAAAGGGGACTTCCCGGGGGTCCTCAAGCTGCTCGAGCTGCAGTTGTATGGGCTCAGAAGCATGTCGACAAGGACTGGCAAGAATGGACAAGACGGGAAGAAGGCAAACAATGAGCCAGGCAGGAGTTAACGTAAAGTAGGCCTGTCGATATGCCTGCTAGAATCATGAGTATCGAAAACTACATAATGAAAACTGCTATGTGAATGAGAATGTAACGATAATAGATTTATGCAAGTTTGTAAAAGCTTTGTAACTTCAAACTTATGAATTTTAATCAAGTGAGATTGTTTGTCTTCTGCAAATGGTTCTTTTATTAAGTATCACTGTCATTGCTGATGCTGATGATCTGTATCATGTCCGAAGATATCAACATTAGTAACCCCGGTGTTATCTAAATGGGCCTATTTAAAGCCCACTCGGGCACATAAATGGGCCTTTACAAGTCAATGCAGAATAATTTTCACGAATCGGTTGCGGACCCAAAATTTTCTGCAACGACAACAAGGAAAGTAAAAGAAAGTAAAAGAAAAGAAAAGAAAATTTTCTGCAACGACAGAGAGCGCAGCCATGGCGACTTCAACTCGAACAGGACGAACCAGCAGCTTCTCTCGAAACTCGTCATCGTTCTCTCCGGCTTCTTCTTCTCCCCTTCATCAGCAGCAGAATCCAGGCATCAAGCTGGGCCCCAACGCCTCCGCCTTCGTCTCCTCTGGAATTCCTGACCTCGACAGTAACAAATTCTCTCTTTATTTCTCTTTTTGAGCTGAATCATTGGTAAAGTTCTAATCTTTTTGATGGTTTAGGGATTTTGGGAGGTGGGTTTCTCTTGGGAACCCTAGTTATGATAATGGAGGACTCCGACGCCCCTCACCACCTGCTACTCTTAAGAAATTTCATGTCCCAAGGGATCGTTCATCGCCAGCCTCTGCTCTTCGCTAGCCCTTCGAAGGAGCCCAGAGCTTTTCTTGGCACTCTCCCTTCTCCTCTCTCGTCTTCGTCTTCGTCTTCTTCAAAGGATGAGAAGCAAGAGGTATTTTTTTTTCTTGGCTTATTTGCGTTTTAATTTCCTCAAAGTTTCACCTTCTTTAACCTTGACACCCTGAAGTTCTACTTTGATAGTTAGATAACACCAAGTTTTCAAGTTGACATTGATTTTGACAATATGATATCCGAAGACCTGACTTTGTTCTCCACTTTCCCCAGACTCAAAATATAAAAATAAAAATACAAAATAAAAATAATAAAATAATAAAAATAAAAAGCTGAATCATGGTAAGGGGCTTGGTTGCTTTCCACCATTTTCCATGTCCAACATTCCTTCACTTTTTGGCGTTTTCTTCACTTTCATGGAAAGTTGTTTCTTGTGTTTGTTATGTCAAAAACTAGGAGAATAATTAATTTCCATCACTTTCATTTATTTGGTTCAATTTAAAAAAAGAAGAAGAAAGTAGTTGATGTATAAGCAGATTCCCTCATTTTCTAGTGTTTGTTTCAAACTAAAAAATAAAGGAAATGTGATTGTGGTTAACATGGTGTGATTACCACCCATATAGGGCAAATTTATTGGCAATAAAAATTGAGGGGCCAACATGCCTTCCATCACACAAAAATGTGAATATTTGAGGGAGAAATTTCAAAATATTTGAAGATGTGAGGGAGTAATTTGCAAAAATGTTTAAAGATTTGAGATAGTAATTTGCAAAATGTTCACATATGGACATGTGAGGAAAAATTTTCAAAAAACTTCAAAGATTTAGGGGGGCTTAATTTTAACTTTGAGGACATAATGTGAACCCCAAATACTATAGAAAAAGTACTATTATGCTTTGTTTTAGTCTATGTCGTCATAATATGCCTTGTCGTCATAATATGCCTCCCCATGAAATCTATAGTAGCAATGTTGGCTGCATGTATTGTCTTGTCAATAGATTACTAGTATAAATTTTGGTTGCATATATTAAAAAAGACCATCATCGTAGCATAATATCACATACCCAATATCATAACAACCATATCAACCAACTAATACCAAATATTCTCAATCTTAATCCTAAAACCAAGTCATAACCAAGAACCAACAACCAAATGTCCCTACAAACGTGACAATATGAAGAATCAAGTTATATAACCATATAATATAGCTACCACATGTAACCAATAGCCAAAAAACAAAAATGGAAATTTGAAGAATCAAGTTATATAACCAAGAACCAAGAACCAAGTTGAAGGACTCACTTGAAGAATCAACTGGAGTTATTGACAATGCTAACATCTATAGCAGTCTGCATCAACCAAGCACACAACCAGGTAGCCTTTTCAAACAATAAACATGTTGAGAGCTTAAAGATAAACCATAGATCACATTTAGAGTTGGAACACGAGTCAAAGCATAGAAGTGAAGTATTGGTCCTGTCATCAGGCAGAGACTACTATAAAGAACATGCAACAGAAACCAAGAATAAGACCAGGACAGAAACCAATACACAAAACAAGCATAAACCAAGCACACAACTTCTAGCATATGAAAGAATACAACAGATCTTGTAACATGCAATCAACTGAATACAAATTCAGGGCCAAGCACACAACTATTTATGTTTAGGAAATCAAAAAGCAGAAATGGCAAACTGCAGCTATGAAGCCTCCATATCAAATTTATGACTTCGATTGAAAGCAATCTTCACAACATTGGAACACATATAAAACTGAAATCATTCTTCAAAAAATTGTAGTAAAACTAAAAACAAGACTAGAATCATGTTTAAAGACCAAGACTGAAATCAACAAAGACTGAGACCATCCAAGACTGAAACCAACAATATCTAAGATTGAAAAATATGCTCAGATAAAGCCATTTTCTTCACTATCTGTCTTGCCATGAAATTTATGATAGCAATGTTGGCTGTAATTATCATAATGAATCTACAAAATAAGCATTGTCATCATGGATTGCCTCGCCAATAGATTACTACTGTATAGACCATCATTATAGCATAAAAATGATAACATTTGCCTCATATAATCAAGAAAAGAACTGATATCCATACCATATTAACTTTCATACCATCACACTAGAAATATGTAGAATAACCTCAGTCCGTCAAGGTGAAATCAATCACCTGATTCACCTTATCCAACTTGTAAACCTGTGAAACAAGTACGCATAAGCAATCACACTAGAAATATGTAGGATAAACATGTAAATTGTATCTACCATTGTCTAAAAACCACTGTTATAAATAGCGGTAAATAGCCCCGCAATAGCGGCGCTAATAGCGTTAGCGGTCCATTCCCGCAACGCTATCATCTGTTATGCTATCACGCAATAGCGGTGATATATTACGAAATATGTCTGTTTGCAAAAGCGACCAATAGTGTGTCATAACGGTAAATAGTGAGCGATTGCATTCGAAATTTGCTTTTTGACTGCTATTTTAAAGCAGTTTAAGGCTTATTTTTTTAAAAATTAAACTCAACCCTTAGATCATTGCATTCCACCGTGATCTGTGATTTTCAGCATACTCCTACCACCTCTCATAGCCTCTGGCACCTACCTTGATATTTCCTCTCACCCCCTTCACCGTGAGCTCCTCTTAGGGCAGTCCTGTCACCGCTAAGCTCTTCTTCTCGAAGACGACGACTTTTTGACACCTCCAGTCATCTTTGGTGTTACGTTATAGTTACATATCTATTTTATGTTTAGGATCTCTTTAAATCATCCAATATGTACTTTTAGATTTCTTAGATTTTTCTTTAATTTTTTTTAGTATTTATACATATCTAAATTAGACCGTTATTTGACTTTGCGCTTTTTACCGTTATTTTGTCGCAATAGCCCGAAATAGCCTTAGCGATGTCTCACCGCTACGCGACGCTATCCGCTATCGATAACCTTGCTAAAAACTAATTACTAAGGATGTAAAATCACGATTGAGATGCATAAAGATAGAAATAGTAGCATTACTTTTGCACAAAAGTAAGTTTAATACATATAACATAGTTAGTAGCCAAAAGGACGAGCATGCAAACTTATATTGTGATTATGTGAGCGAAATACAAGTTCGGCGGGCTTGATCAATTCCAAAGTCTACTCGTTGAAATGGATAAAAATGGATCTTGCCACTGATTTGCATACTCTATAAATATTATTTACTAAAATTCCCTCAATCTCACATATAAAGTCATAAAAATCTCACCTTTCTAAGGAAATACCAAGAATACTCTTCACAAATAAACTTATTTGCCAATAATACATCAAAAAATCAATCTTATAGATTAATGATAAACATAAATCTATCAATAATTCCCTTAAAAATTACTATAGAGATCTATGAATCTATGATTACATATGATAATTTCCCAATAATTTGCAAAAAAAATAAAAATAAAAAAGCATATCGGAGAACGAAGGATGTAGTACCTTTAATGGTGGAGAGAGCGTCAGAGTCAGAGACAGAGCGGTGCCGCTCAAAGAACCAAAGGTGGCAGAAGAAATTGGAGGGAGATGGTGAAATGAGAAGGAGAACGGCGCGGTGATGGTAAACCCTAGGGGAGGAAAGGAGAGCGGAAAAGAAAACAGTACGATCCCTAATTTTTTATCACCTTGGATCAGTTTTCGAGCGATTTCGGAGGTTTTGTGAGGGAAAGACTCTTTCCGGTTTATCTGAGTTGGTACCTGTTATCAGTTCCCCTTTCATTTTTTTCCCGACAGCCCAAACAAAAGATAATGAAGTAAAGTTGCAATTTTGGGCTATTTTCTTGGTTGTCAGTTTTCCAAGTGGGCCTTTCTTCATTTTTTTTTTACCAAACAAACAGCCCCTAAGAAAATTGGTTTCTCAGTTACTTTTGTTTGTTGATATTCATGATTGATATTAATGTATCAAATTGTCAAACTAGAACTTAGGTATAAAAGTTAACAAAGGATAGACTTTGGGTATTTAAGTGCAAACAACCCTTTTTCTTGATTGATTTATTTATTTATTTATTTAAAGGATTTGGATGTGTTGGGTTTGTTATAACCTGTTTGTTTTGTGCAGGAGAAGGGATTGAGAATAGCTTGGCAATACAAGAAGTACTTGGAGCAGCCCGCTATTGATCCTCACAGCAAAGGTCTGTTTGCTGAATTTTTGTGTGTCAAATCTTGGAGCATGTTTACTTTTTCCCATATGTTGTGATGACTAGTTGTTATTAGTGGAACTGGGCTAAATATATCATTCACATTGCTTGGAGCAGCCAGTGACTTTCTTATAGATGTTTTGCATCTCAGATCGTTCTGGTTTTTTCTCGGTTTAAAGCAACTCAAAATCTTATATGTTTTTTTAGGGGAGTGGATCGGTATGGTATGTTATTAACTCCGGAAGTTCTCCGTTCGTGAATTAGGTTTTGGATTAACCTTCATATGTGAAGAGTAACTCAGGACATAAATGAAACTGTTATGTTAACTCTCCCAAGTATTGAACATAATGAAGAATTTGGATCTCATGGAACTTCTCCCGTTGGAAAAGTGGTTGGAAGATTCTTCTTTAGCTAAAACCTTTACGGTTCAAGGAATTGGGAGGCCCATGAATGGATTGGTGGGTTGTTGTTCAAAATGGGAAACTTGTGGACTCTTTGATAACCTCCAATGGATACTTGCAATGTGTATTTCTTGAGGCCGAGACTTTTAGGTCAAATATGGGCTTCTTTAATGGAGGAATGTGTTTTTCCATAAATATTTTACTAGATCTGCATTTAGATCTTATCAGACTATTTAGGTCATTCATTTGTCAATATTAGCATTTCAAATGTAGGTTTTGCTACCAATTCTGAAAGTGATTGAAAATTTCATTATGATTTATATCAAGGGGCGTTCCGAATTGCTGACTCAACTTTTGGTCTTACAATATAACGGGCTCAACTAGATGGAGTCATTGATTAAAAAATCTTCTTGCCTGCAAGAGGAGATTTTTGAGTTATGTTGACTGGCTTTCTAGATGCACAAGATTCATCCTTTTAAGATCTGCTTTAAGCCAGATAATACCTAGCGTTCTAGACATACGCAGTTGAATTCGAATGTTACTCCACTGTGTGATCTAAAAATCATGCAAGTCTAATCAAATGGGAAGAAGCTTTAATTAAACTAGCATGGTGTGGTCATGCATATCTTCATTGTATATAAGCTAATTGCACTCTTTTTTGCTTTACGTTTTGATATTCCATATTTTCTGAACTTTCACTCCTGAGTTTAGTGGTATGAACTGAAAAGGCAGATACTTTGTCTTGTTCACAAATCTATTAAATACTAAAAGAACCCTGAATTTGGTTGCAGATGTTAAACAAGAATTCAGTAATGATTTTGACCTGCGAAAGCCTCTTGAAAGACATTTGCTTGGTGCGAAGAATATTGAATGTGTGACCATGCAAGACTCTTCAAGCCTTGCAGTTATTCGTGATCATTGTTCCAACTTTTTAACTAAACTTCCTCGGTAAGATGCATGTTTAGAAATTTTCTTTTGAAGGAAATTATATTTCTTATATTGGGTTCAAATATTACCGGTTTAAATATTGTCTTTTCCTATGACTGGTTTATTTATTGGCCTATGTGTCCACAAGGATTTGTTTGCCCATGTGATGCATGATTGTCCATAAGGGGATTAATATATCTGGATTAAGGATTTACTAAAAAGTCATGATGTGTATTTAACCATTGAATGACTCACATAAAGGATATATACTTGTTTAACTATTATCTACACTTTCCAAATCTTTTTCCCCTTTATTATTTGGAGAAAAACTACAGCTTTGGGCATATACATTATGCTAGAATGATTTAATTCTTGCGGTTATTATTCTCATTTGGTTCCGTGGACGTTTCATTCGTGATAGGTTTTACTCTAAGCCTTTTCCTCCTCTTTTTCTTTTGATTTTATACATTCAGAAATGATGGGAGCAATGTTGGTAGAATTGCTATACAATCACTTTGTGCCCCTCAATGTGGATACACTGAGATGGTAAGTTCCTGATTCCATCTTTGATGTTCAAATCATTAACTTTGAGGGGGTTTATCTCCATTATTAGGTGCATAAATAAATCACTATATCAGTTACCTAAAACTTCAATTCTCCTGTTTAAGATATGAAAGTGCTTGCCTGATTTACCCTTTATTTATATTAAACAAAAACTATTGTAGGATTGGGATATGGTTTCCTTTATCAGATCTCTCAGAGCAATGGTACGATCTTCTAATGCAGTTGCTGTGATTACATTCCCGACTTCTCTTCTTCCTCCGTCCTTCTCTAAGAGATGGCAGCACTTGGCAGACACTCTATTATCTGTTGGATCAATTCCAGGCAAATTCTTCTTCTTATATTGTCTTTG